CGCTTTGGTCACTATTTTTTCAAGAAATAGAATACTTACGGAAACCCAATAAGTACAAGTGATAAGAAAACTTTGAACAATGGTCTTTAAAACAGAGAGCTTTGGTTTCGTGCAGAATTTCTCCATGGGGCGCGCCATATCACGTGTTGTTCTGCGTGTTTTTACTGATTGACTTTAATGTTTTTCTTTTATATTGCTGTATCTGTTTGCTAAAACGAATCTACTCAATGTTTTGATTGTAGCCATTTCGATTTCAGGTCTCAATTCTATCAAAAATGTATGAAGCTTATACTCCAAATGAAGTTGCTGTGAAACTGCCACTGGAAATCACATCTCTCACATGTCAAAGTACGTTTCCAGGCTTACTATCATCTTTTAACTTCTTACTTCGAATAGCTCTTATTCACCATATCGTGGAAGATTCATAAGAGCGCTTTCATGCTTTGCGTCAGTGTTTTGAGCGTACCGCTCCTCGTGAGCAGTCGCTAAACTGGCGTACCGATAACATAGTTGGGGGGGGGGACCGCTTGACTACAGGAGAGGGAAGGTGGCTCAACAGCGCCTCTGCACCCCTTCCTGCAGTCAAGGCTTACGCCTAATGGAAGTTACGTCTTCCCTGCTGGACGATCTTTTGGCGACTCTGATCGTTTGCGTTCTAAATCTAAGCGGAAGGGACACAGTGGTGCGGTCATATGGTCCCCAACAACGTTACTGTTTGCGGGACTAATGTGATCACCTAGACTAGAGGACAGCGCCATTGGTTTAGTTGTTGTGGAACGGTCGCCCTAAGCTCATATTAACTCGCCCACAAATAGTAACAAAGAAGCAGAAATACATCAGAATCATCACGGTCTCTATGAATTCACATACTAAACAGTCAATACGTAAAGGCAGTTGCCACGATAATTTGGTACTCGGCCTGAAGTGCTAGCAGAGAGGTGAGTGGGAAAATGAAGAAAAAAGAAATGGAACTGTCAGAAACCTGCGAAGAAAAGCTTCGTTCTCAATGACTCAAAAGCAATTTCGGACGAGTTTCCCGTAGGCATCTTGCCAATAACCGCTACGGTAGATACGGCTGCATGTATGTACTCATATATCCATGCAGCACCGCAGCCGCTTCATATCAATCCCTTCGCTTCATACTTCGCAAATGAAGCAATACGAGCATCAGGTACGGTCGTCCATTTGTGGGCGGGCGGGCGCGGTGGGCGTTCGGGTCGGTATGTTGTAGCTTGATAGGGCCTTATAAGGGTACCTTTGAAAAGGCGCTACGCAGCGCCTGCTCAAGGTCGCGGAATTCCCGTCCATCTGTCGGTGGCGGCTGCGCAGCGCTTCGGCTCCGGTATGTTATAGCTGATAAGGACCTATATAGTACCTTAACTGATATTTGAGCGCTAGCGCAGCCCTCTGCCTCAAGCGTCGCGGAAGTTCCGTCCTACCAGCGTTATTAATTCTACTCGTCTTGGAGAACTATCGTGCCTGCCTTTAAGTTTCTTGGGGTAGGATAACTGGTTCTTGAGAGCACAAAAACGTTGCCTTATACATCGACTAAACTTGCGCTTGTACTTGCAGTTCAGTGTACAGGTTCTGTACTCTTTTGTAGTAGTCGTGGAGGGGAGTGCTATGCGTGGCGCGTAAGGCGTTCGTAAACTCCAGGCACACCTTTCTTATCATATCGCCCTTGTTGTCAAAATAAATCACTCCTAGAAAAGAGCTGGTATTGCCGATTACCATGGAAGTTGATCATTCCCTTCAGTTATTAGGTCTTCATTGAGAGTTCATTACAAAGGAGAAGGGGATTGAGAAGTCTTTTGGGAAGAAACGTCCCTCTCCTCGTGATTTTTTGCAATGGTTCGTAGTTGTCTACAGCGGAAATCGCACGACCCATGATCTCCCAGACTGCGATATCCTTAGGTAATCAATAATATTCGCGAATCTTCTAAGATGCAAAGGGAACGCAAAATATGGCCACAACTCTACAATTTGGTTTTCGATAGCGTGAGGGCTCCTTAGTGGGTACTTAGGCGTGAGCCAATACCTGTTTTGTCTTCTCATGGTCAGATATAGCCTGCACACAGTGGGCATACTAAATAGAGGAATGCGGAAAGTTCTATGCGGGCGTGTGTGGCTTAATATTACTCCGCGACGACGCGGGCTGGACATAAGGCGTATTTCTAAAAGTAGTTCCTACAGCTTACCATGTTCGTTCGAAGTGGGTGCTGGGCGAATGCCCGAGCACCAATACAGCCTTGTAACCGTTCTCTTTCATTGCATCCAGAGCGCCGATTCAGACTTCAGCATTCGTGGGCGACTGGACCGCGCGCATCGCCGATCGCCTCGACTAAGGATCGCGCGATCAAGCGCCCCACGATCGCCGAAGTACTGAAGGCGCTCACCGCCAACTTTGAATGTCCTGTACTACACCCAATCAGAGCGAGATGATTTGATCGTGGATGCCATATAGTATTGGGTATCACCTCTGGCTATAGCATCATTACTACCATCTTATATGCGATCACATAACAAGTAACCTCTACACTGGTCACTTTTTCTGTGTTGTATCAAACTTTATTTGCCATTGCTTTGCACTTTTCCTGCAACGCATTTAGATACAAGTGTATACTATTTTTTGAAGATCATAGGTCGGTACGCGTTTATGCCAGCGAAGCCAAAGGGCGGTTCTAAACTACCTTTCCTTTTCGTTTTCTTCGTTTGTCTCATGTTTTTCCCATTTATTTCTCTTCGTTTATACTCCTAAGCGAACTAGTAAGTCAGTAGTACCTTCAGGCCATTAGTTAATTCGTACAGGAGTGATTTTCTTATTCGTACAATATTTCTAGATCGCCGTGGATTTGATCTCGATACTTTGTGCAAGCAGTTTGAAAGAAAAGCTGTGTTGGATTTATCCATCTGTGAGGAACAGGATCTTGTTTTCTGCGTTTCTGACGGTCAAATGGCCGCACATTATCTAAGTTTGTCATCGAAACTTTATCGCTCCTTCCTTTTTTTTTGCAGTAAAGGCACGAGTGACCATTTTTCAGAAGACCACTTTTCCCTGTGTATCAATTCTCACAAGATTCAACCATTACTGGTTTACCACGTGGCATCCCAGAGTGCATCAACGCCCCATTTTTTGTAATTCTCGATATCAAGTTCTCCTATCCACCATGCTTTTCGTGTGTACCAGGCGCATGAAATATACTTGTGGCCAGACTTGCAAGCCGCTTTTCGTTATAAAGCACGAGAGATGGCACAGCGCATCAAAGCCAAAGTAAACACCATGATGGATGGATTCCGGCAGGGGCAAAAGGTGGCAACGCGACGTCGCACGCCTGTGCACTTACTGCGCGGCTTCAGTGCTTTCGAATCGTCGCCTAGAGTGCCTCATTAAACGCTTTTGATTCACACGGCTAAGCGTCAAGTAGCCGTATGGCGCTCGACGCCGCTAACCTAAGTGCGTACGCTCCCAAACGGATTTCGCGTTTCCCCTCTTAGCTCTCGACATTTCTCCTCCTGCTATAGAGCTCGCGGCCAAAATAAAAGACATTTTCGAGCCCGAGTTCACATAATCAGCAAAGTTTTCGCCTGTCAGGAGACGAAGACGTGATACGAGTACCAGCGCCGCTAACGATAAAACAAAGATGTTCTTCGATAAGCAGGAGTTGGCTCTCACCCATCGCCTTCATGTACACCAAAATATGAAGTCATCCAGCCGCAACCTGACTGGGGAAGGCCTTCGGAATTCATGTCACCTCCGAACAGCTGCGAAACTTCTATTGTATGACACGTCACTCACAAATAGCTACCTGGAGACAGTACTTCTCGATCTGTAAGACCTCACATCGAGCCCATTTGATCGCGTGGGCGCCGCGACGCTACCTGGAATGGGGAGACCGATACTTTTTCGTGGGCCCCGGACTAAAGGTGAGCGCTGGCGGTTACATCGAGCAACTCGAGAAGAATATCCTCTCCACATGTCGTCGCCCGTACCTTCTTGGAAACTTTGTACTGCTACAGGATTGGGTGACACCACATGGAATCAAAGGGCGTTGGGAAAACTCTTGCCTACTTGGAATGGAAGGGCGTTGAGTACCTGAATAAGGTGAAATATCTAAGGCAGCGTAACCTGACATAAAACCCCCTCAGGTATCTGGTTCGGCCCCGCATGTTCAAACGTGGTGCTACAGTTGGCGACGAGAAATCAATCCGACTTGTCGCGTGGCAGAATCTCTCGATGGCGCTCCTCCAGAAGGCTGTGGCGGAGTATCATGATAGTATTTAATATGCTCTTCAATATGGTGGTAGAAATGTCCGATAAGAATTCAATAAAGTGTAACTTATAGCGCCTCGAAAGTCGAGGAAGAAAAAAGTTTTTTTTGGTCCCCCCTGTATATGAGCGAGGCGGAGGTGGTCTAGAGGACACTGGCATGCTTACCACTGTTGCGCTCCGGGGTTCAAATCTCGAGATCAGTAGCATTCCATGCTAACCAAGCCATCTACCTTTCAGGGGGGCTGTGTGTCCTGTTGGCGTGCGCGGCGCAAGACTGTTTGTTACTATGCCGCACCTACTGTCGCCACCTCCGTCTAGCTCCCTTTTAACCTGGTGCTTTTGAGGGAAGGAGTCACTAGGGGGGGGGTGGGGGGGGGTACGTTGGAACATGCTTACCCGTTATCCGCATCGCGATACAGCTCCTACCCCCTACGCCCCCTCCCCTAGCATCTGCAGCACCCACTTACATCAGTATTTCATTGCCCGATTTCATGAACTGTTTTACCTCTGTTTTTTAATTTCTGTTCAGGATGGCGATGATATGCACATATTTGTTTCCTCTAAAAAGAGGCTCTATTTGTTCAAATGGTTCGAGAAGGATTTTCAAGATGTCCGCTTCGAATGTAATCAGTCGTTTGCAGACAAACCGAATACCATGAGGTGAGTCCAACAAGGGAGCGCTACTTTATTTCGATGACACGAAGGACTTTCACTTGCTCTCGCGGGCGTGAGGCAGCAGCATGTCCGCGTCACTGCGTAGAGCTTCCCACTCAAAATGTAAGCGCATAGCTCTAACTCATTCGATTTCATGGCACAGAGCACGGTCCTAAACAGGCAGTCCTCAGCGGACGTCATATTCGCGGTGCGAAGGCAAGGCGAGATCGTTTTGGCTGAAAAATTGTTCGAGTAGCTGATTTGCCTGGTTCAGGCGCGTTATCTACCATGTTGGAGGACTCCCTCAGGAAGGCGAAGGGGTTGGGTCGTGAGTGGCCTTGGGAACGTTTTTTTTCGGTCGCTGATTTTTGCGGCTTTCCCCTTCAGAGTAGCATCAAATGCTTCTAGAGACAGAACGTACGCCTGTTCCTGGAAATCTTTTCTTCTCGTTGCCACTAATGTCTTTCAAGTCTTTAGTCTTGGACGGGCGATTGTCGTCGTCTCTTCGATGTTAGTGATAATCCATCGATAATCGTGATGAGGGATCGCGATCTTCTAGGATTCTCACATGGCGACACACTCATTCTGACCAATTTGGAGGGGCAAAAGACTCCATTAGCCGATGTGCGCTTCAGCGACGTTCCCTGTGATATCGGTATGTTCGAAAGATATTATAACCACCTCAATACGCAAATTTCGTAACATTCTCTAATTTGGGCGAATTTCACTTTAATGTTACAGTATACGATGCACCGTATGTCGTTGGATTATTGCCAAAAGGACGAGTAGAAGTACGATCGTTGAATCCTCCTCATCTTATTCAGAGTATGGCACTGAGCAAAGCCTCTCTTCTATGCGTTGGAAATCCGTGAGTTTCATTCCATTGCGTATTTCGTTGGACCATTAGCACAGTTAACCTTTTTGACCACATTTATCAGAATCTGAACATAATTTTTATTGAATTATGATTCCAAAAGTCAATTTGCTAGATTTTTTCATGGTCGAGTTGGCCGCGTTCACGAATGCGTCCGGTCAGTCTGAGCATTCTTGCCCTAAATCTTTTTATGTGGTGCTGGTGTTCAGCGGGTCAAACCAACCCCCGAGCCTACTTGTACTGCCTCCCATAGACGACTAGTTTAAACATAACCTCGTCGTTTACAACTGATTTCCACGTCGTGGGCTCCTCTTCCGATGAAGCCTGAAAGAGCCTAGTGGGTGAACCTTAGCGTAATATTAGTGTCGGAGTGTCTGCTACGACTTTGTCCCATATTTTAGCGGTTTTGCAACATCTTACCAGTACTTTCAGTGGCTACGTGTTTATCAGCAGCCCATTTGATGTCTGGATGCTAGATGCTCATGTGAACATCCGCAAGAATGTGTCTAC